TGACATAAAATCACATATAGATGCCAGAATAACTTGTCAATGGGAAAATCCACTTGTTTATTGTCGAAATCAACTCTGTTGAATGGCATTACCATTTCACACTAACTAATTTTCCTAAAGCAATTTGCTATTTACGTTATTTGCCCGCTTCCCGACTAGCGAGTATTTATAGCGCCACCACCACTAAACCTGGTACAACTTTTTAAAAATAATAAAAACCAGTCAAAAAGGTTTTAACATCGGCCGGGCCGAACTTTAGATACCCTCCACCATAGGTATACTGATAGTTACTTGAAATAAAAATATAGGGAACATACCAGAAAGTATACCTATACCGATAAGTGTACCATATTGAACAAATTTCAGCAATTTTAAATGGAGATTTTTTTCTTTAATCTAAAAACGGCAAAACGTGGACGATATTGGCAACGCATGGTAAGTAGGAACATGTGTATAAATAAAATCCTCCAAATTAAGTAATTTCGAGGGCAAAATTATATGAGGCCATCACCACTGTACATAGGATTTTATTTCGGAGGGTAGGGTTCAATATAAAAATGTTCATGGTAAAAAACAAAACCAAATTGTATGCTTTCGTACTTGGAGACTGTGCCTAAAGCGGGGCCAATATTGATTACATCGGAATTACCGAACACTTGTAGTTATCATTATATCAAGTGATATGCCTAATTGAGTACTGATATAGCTCAATTTCGAACATAATATTTTTGCTTCATAATACCTTCCTTCTGAGAATTTCATACTTTCGCTTACGGTATATCCCCCTACGGCTTTAATGCACTTTACGGACACTTCTCAGATCATTTTGAAATTTTTATCATAGGTAGCCCTTCTGATGCTGATTACAGCAACATAAGTTTTTTCGGGGGGAAATCAGTACTTCCCGAGATATGGGGTTCAAAAATTCAAAAAATATCCCCACTTTTTCTTAAACATATTTAAAAATACCACTCCGAAACGTTTAATTTTTTACAGCACATAGTCCTTTTGGAGCTGATTACAACCACATAATTTTTTTTTTTTTTTTTTTTTTTTGGAGGGAACTTCGTACTTCCGGAAATATCGGGTATCAAAATGCCATGATATACTCCTTAGATTCATATTTTACAAAACTAAATCTAAATCTGAACTGATTAAAAAAAAACTGCATACACGTCTTTCTAGACACGTTGTGTAGAATTTCAGCGCAATCGAAGAAACGTTAGTTGCTTTTCGTCAATAGCATAAAATTAAAGTTTTTAAAATGGTTCCTTTTGTTTTTAATATGTTTTCAAGATGTTAATGTTTTAAATATATGGTAAAAATAAAAAATAAATAATATATAAAATAATTTTATTTATTAAAATATTACAATTATAAAACATGGTGCCGACTTTGGGAACCTGTTATCCAATTCTCGAAATGGATAAATTATGCATTTAAGAGGCTACAAGAATTTAAGATTAAAACCATGTCTTCTATTATGTAAAGCTACACTAAACTTTTTTTTATAAGTTAATCAATATTTGGAGCACTTATTTAACATTTTTTCTCCAATTTTGACCCAAAATGACCGAAAAGGTGCTTGTTATTCATTCATATGCCGACTATAGGAAAACCTTAACTAAATTTGTTCCTAAGGACGCATCGATAAAAATATTATAATTACAAATATGTTTTAATGATTTTAAATTGTAAAGTATTCTCCTCTATGTTCTTTACAATTTCGAAGAAGATCCTTGTGAAGAATATACAATTTTAATATAGTTACAAGTCTTTTGAAATCGACATGCCAACGATGTTTTCTTAAGAAACATGAATTATCGCTAGTGTTGACAAACCTTATTGACCAAATGACACATTTTGACAAAATGTACTTAGCTCGATTAAAATTTATACGGAGATATCGACGCCTCCGAACCATAGTATGCTAAGTCTGAAAAGTGAGTTTTTCAGTAGAAGCTCTCAAAGTATGGAAGTTTCATATATCTTACGGGCCATGCTAAGTACATTTTTGCTTATAACTTTGGTTTGGATTGGCCGATGATTACCAAAATTATACTATAGTTCGGAGGCGTCGATATGTTGCAGTGTTATTTAAGATTATTCAAGGTATTTTTCATATTTAGTTATAGGATCTTTTAGTTATTTGAAGTTATATAAAACAGATGCCGATCTTCGCGAAATTTGGCATGTAGGATGGGTTCTGGCCAATGAAGACCCCTATTGTTTTTTGGTAAAGATCGGTTAATATTTAGGGGATAAAATGAACCAAAAACTTTATTTTCGTATGGTTTTCTGGTCGCTCCAGAGGCCACAATTATCCTCCAAATATTTTTACATGGAGAAAGGGATCGGGCCAAAGAATAAGAATGTCCGTTTTTTGGTAAATATCGATCAATATTTAGTGGGTCGAATGGACCCTGACTTTTGTGAGAAAAATTGCAAAATTTGTATTCTAAATAGTATATATTTACCCCTGAAAGAAGTAGACCCTAGAAGTTGATATACTGTCAAGAGGAGTGGTTGATCTTTAAATTGATACCAATTGCATTGTCGTATGTACTCGAATGTGGGAGTTACACTTAAATATTTACAGGTGCTTACGTATTCATATATTATTAAGTAACCCATTAACTTACAAGAGGCCGGAAATATAGCTCTGATCGCATTGAAATTTTCCATGAGGGTCCAGGTATGGTCAAGGACAACGCCTAGAATTTTCGCTGATGATCTGATAATAATATTGAGATGAATTGGACCTAAAACTTATTTTTTGTGTTTTTTTTTTGAGTCGATCTATAAAACACAATTGAAAGCTGAACATCACAACACAACCTACGGTGAAGGGAATATGAACAAGTAATTAGAAGGTCTGTAATGAATATTAGTAATATTTGTTTACCTCTAGTCGGTCAAGAGGGTGCAAATATAGCGAAATATTTGCCATGCTCTGAATATAGAACAAGAGAAAGTTAGATTTTCGTGGAAGTAGTGTAGGGTATCATATGGTCGGCCCCGTCCGACTATACTGCTCCGCTCACTGATTTTTATATAGCTACGAGTAGTCTTAAAATACTGTTTTCTTAAGAAACATGAATAATCATAAATTAATTAAACCAGGTACGCAGACAAAACTATAGAAAATATTTAGACATATTAATAATTATAATTTGTTTCGATCGCTAATTCAAGAAATTTTCATATTTTCCCATTTAAAAACCAGCATTATTCTTATTGGATTTTTTAATTGGTATTTTTTCATTTTAATAAATGTTTTTGTACAACACATTATTTATCTTTTTAATAAAAATAAGTTCATATAAAAATATGATGATTTTTTTCCTAATTAATTATTTCGATGTCTACTGTACCGAATTTGTACCGTAAATAATTATGATGATAACCCGGAATTTGTGCTCGGTCAAGGGCAGCCTCCTCAGCTCATACTGGAACAATAGGTTGGCTTTAACAGAAACAACCATTTGAACTACCAAAATGTGTATTGGTAAAACGCATCACGTGTATGCTTATTCACAAATATGTTGGTATTCAAAAATAAAACACACAACTTTTTGTGTTCAGCATCAAACTACGATTTTGCGCAGCTCTATTGAAAGACATATTTTGTGAATATAACATCTCTTTCTGCACCAATTCTGCTGTACACATTTTTTTTATTAATTTATACATATTGGATTTTCCTTATGAATATGATTTGAGATATTTTCCTAATTGCCTTTTAATTTATGGAATCTCCCAGATGTGCGTAAATATTAAATTACGCACTTCACTCAGGTAGAAGATGAGATGAGATACCACTCGTAATTCATCATGCGTTAAAATTTTTATTGTAGATGCACATTTTCCCTTTAGTATATGACGAATGATATTGAACTCCTCCAAATGCAGACTGTATCATCTGTCAACAAAAAAACCAACCCAACAAAAAATGTAAACAAAAAACAGCTGGGCGAGGTATTGTTGCTATTTGGGCCTTCCTCCCCTACTTCAGCCAAACGAAAAGTTTCATCAACACTTAAGATATGCTATCGTGTGTTGTTGTTACTGCTGTTCGTTGTCGATGACTAAACCGACCAGTGGAGAACGTGAGTGACGAGACATATTCACGAGACCCAAAACAATACATATTTATTGACGAATGTGTGTAAATATATACTATTAATTGGGGTATGGCTGAACGACAGCGGCATACGTGCATAAAACGACGTACATCCATATAACTGCGAAAAAACGAGTACGTTAATATGTATGTAGATATGTACACTACGTTACATATTGACACTCACTCGACGCTGTAATGTTTGGAGCACATACATATCAAAGTCACGAGAGTATTTGGTTGTTGTTGGTGTTGTATTGTGCATGTACAAACAAAACCAAACCTTAGCAGATAATAATTATATACACAACATGTATATTTATATATAACCACACAACAACAACAATATCAAAGGGTGTTTGATAAACACAACCAAACAAAAAAATGTGTGTTAATGTTTTGTTTTTGTTTCATTTACATTTTGTGTTTGTTTTTCGCATCTCTTCATTGATAACAACAAGAATAAACGGAATCCAACCTTTTACACATGCACTGAGAGCAGCGCTGCCTTTGTTGCTTTGTTTACTCGGTGTGCCTGTGGATTGTATTGTGCATGACTGCGCTGCCGCTGCCTGTTTGCGAGAGAGTATTGCGGTAATAACAGCCACAGCCTGAGAGAAAGAGAAGCATGCTTTGGTTTGTTGGTATAAAACCGGCTGTTTGGCACGAAATGGCAAGCATTCATTCCAAAGTTGTCAATCGTATAACTACAAACGTCAGAACAACTTGCTATACGGCAATAAAGTAGTAGCACAAAATAAAATCGAGAAAACAACAGTCTCTTGTGTAACAAAAACATCGTATCCGAGCAAAGATTTCAATAAGAAATTCTGTAGTGGAAAACAGAAGTCTATTGTAGATTTTTTCGAAATTTATTCCAAGTTCCAAATACAAATCAATACAAAATGAGTCAAATTGTGAAACAAACCAGCCGCTTGATGCCACAAATCACCAAACAAGGTAAGGAGTGTATTACATGTTTTGTGCCACACCATCCAAATGAAAAACAACAATAACATTCAATGAAAATTTGTGATGATGAAAATCTTTTGGAATTTGGTCACCATTGGACATCGTGGGTCAATGGCCAGTGAATCTAGAATTGTCATCAATAAAAAAATTGTGATTTAAAGAAGTCTCAGAGAATTGCGTTTTAGATTCCAGTTAGGGAAGTTACCCGCCCATTAAATTGTGGTGAAATTGTTTGCCCATGGGGCACCAAAATTGAAAAAATTTCGGCTGTTTCTAATCCAGAAATGAAAAATACTAAAATCGGTTTTGTGTTCATATCCAAGACTTGAGTGAGAATTATTACGAAAAAATCTTGATATATCGATCAGAAAATCTATAGAATAACCCATTTGATTCGGAAATCGATTCTTCAATCTGAAAATTTTTCAAATAACTGGAGAAATAAAGATAAGCTCTTATTTCCAATAAGAAAATATCAAATAAAATACTGTGCCTTACAAAAGTGGACCCGATTTTTAGCAACATTTCGAAATTTGAATTATTTAAAAAATCTCGAATATTTAAAATTATTCAAAACGATAGAAACTAATAATTCCAATTTGCAAAAAAAAAATCCAATTAGAATGCAGTTGGATCGATTAAATGTTATATTTGGAAATATGTGAATATTTGAACTTATAATTTTAATATCGACCATTCTAAATCACAAATTTTCAGATTTTTTCCTATATATTTCTATTTTAAATACTCAAATTTTAATAATTTATTTTTTCTTTATTTTTATTTACAGTGGCCTGCTTCTCCACCTCTTCAGCCCGCCTGCAAGAAGGTGAAACCTTCAAAGGTACCTTGAAACCAAAAAGTGCCCGCTTCATCGAATTCCAAAAGAAATTGAGAGCCAAAACACCCTTGGGTAAATTGGATGAATTCTCACGTCATCCCTTCCAAGAAGTTGAACCCTTGAGACCATGGCCCAACAATGTTAACCCCCACACTGGTGAAATTGGTGGTCCCGCCGGCCCCGAACCCACACGTTATGGCGATTGGGAACGTAAGGGACGTGTATCCGATTTCTAGTCATAAAATCTTTAAAATTTAAGTATCCTCAACAGCCATCATCCCAAAATCATCCTAACGTTAGTTGATAGTAAGATATACATACGTACATAATAACATAGAGAGGCACTTTAGTTTTTTTCGTTTCACATTACTTTTTTTTTTGTTTTTGTATAATATTTAGAAAATTGTTTAGCTTGTAAGCGTTTGCAAGGCTTCCTCGCTCCATTGACCTGATAACAACATAAGGAAACAAATTGATTTCCTTGATAAATGGGGAAAACATTTTTAATTATTATCGCCTTGCTCTTTAGGATTTACTTAATTGTTCTTCTCTTTTTATTATGCATTGTTAAGTTGTGATTTTTCTACACAACTATCCATAATAGACTGCTGTATACTAATAAAAAAATGTAATAACTCGAAATGTAATGAAATGAGAAAAAAAAAATCAAAAACCAAAAAAAAAATATTTTAAAATAAAAAAATATTTAAAAAAATTTAAAAGAAAAACTTGTAATGTGTTTTAATTTAATAGAAATATTGTGGGGACTTTGATTTCATTTAGAAGAGCGACATCAAAAATGAAAATAATATAAAAATTAAATATTATTTTTCGAAAAATATTTTTTTTATATAAATGAAAAAAATATTTTTTAAATGCATATTTTAGTAAATAAAATATTGAAAATATTTTACTACAATACAATTTTAATACAAAAAAGAAAAAACATTTTAATAAACAATTATTAAAATAAAAAAATAAAAATATCTTGCTAAAACTTTAAAAAATTATTTAAATATAAAAAATATTTTTAAAATATTTAACTAAAATTTAAAATATATGTATACCCTTCACAACACTGTGGTACAGGGTATTATGTCTTTGTACATATGTTTGTAACTGGCAAAGGGAAATGAGATAGACACATGGTTCCTTTTGAGAATATGCATAGAATCACTTTCTGAGTCGATTTATGCATGTCCGTCAGTCCGTCCGTCTGTAGATGTTAAATTGTAAACATAGTACAGGTCGCATTTATGATCCGATTTGAAAGAAATTTTGAATATGTCACTTATTTGGCCCAAGGACGAACCCTATTGAAATTGGGAAAAATCGGTTCAGATTTAGATATACCTCCCATATATAGTTTCGACCGATTAAAGGTAAATGGGACACCACAGTCCCTATATGTCCGATTTGCACGAAATTCGGCATAGAGTACTGAATTAGGTCCAGAATAATGTGTGCTAAGTTTCGTGAAAATCCGTTTAGATTAAGATATAGTTCCTATATATGGTTTTGTCCGATTTTATGTAAATTGTGCACCAAAGTCGGTATATATCTTTCGATTTGCGAAACTTTTAAATATATATATATATATATATATATATAAATTAAAAAATAAAGGGATTTTTTAAAGCATCTGTTCATTTATTAAATTAAATCTTAATATTTTTTCATATATTTAAAAAATCTAACACCACAAATTAACAATTAAATGTCATCCTTCAAATAATAGGTTCGTTCGTTTACTTTCCCAGTAATATTTACTCAGTAAGATTTGCAGAGAGTGAAAATCCGTTTAGATTAAGATATAGTTCCTATATATGGTTTTGTCCGATTTTATGTAAATTGTGCACCAAAGTCGGTATATATCTTTCGATTTGCGAAACTTTTAAATATATATATATATATATATATATATATTAAAAAATAAAGGGATTTTTTAAAGCATCTGTTCATTTATTAAATTAAATCTTAATATTTTTTCATATATTTAAAAAATCTAACACCACAAATTAACAATTAAATGTCATCCTTCTAATATTAGGTTCGTTCGTTTACTTTCCCAGTAATATTTACTCAGTAAGAATTTGCAGAGAGTAAATACGAATTTTTCCTTTTCAAGAGAGAAAAACTGCAAAAAGTAAACGAACAACATCCAGTAAAAAGATTGTTTCGACACAGCTGATTAAAACAACAAACAAATTGGCGCAAACTAAAAAACAGCATTTTTATTAGAAAAATGGATAACAAGCGGAAAATTGATGTTGTTTGTTCTCCACAAACATTTAAAAGGGTTATGACCGGTAAGTTTTAACTATTTATTTGGAAATATATTGATGTTGATTGATGTTTACAGATTCGGTGTATATGGAGTCAGTGGTTTGGAACCTAAAAAATCGTTCGCCAATTACTCTTGTATTACCTTATTTTTAAATACTTGCGTTTTCTTCATCCATTTTTGTATTTAATGATACAAAATCAAAATAAAATTCACAAAACAATCAATTTTCTTGAGAACAATTTTTTGTTTGTTTACAAAACATAACAAAACAGCTGATTAAATATCAGCTGATGGTACAAGAAAATTCTTACTGAGTAAATTTTCCTTGTAAGAATTTGCAAATACTCAGTAACACAACTGTCAAATCTGCTCTCTCAATTCACTCTCTTTTACTGGGATTTTGGGTAAACGAACAACATTTTGTAATAATTTGTACAAATTCGTAAAAATTATTGAGTAAACGAACGAACCTATTGTTTCCTTGTTTGTCCTTAATACAACAGCTGTTGGCTTTCTGGTTCCTTCAAACGCTTAACCATATCTCCACTTATTGTCCACAATTGATTTTGTAAATTCTCATTTTGCGATAGCTTGCTTGGCTCACAGAAATAACAATTGTTAAAGTAAAGCCCTGTAAGGCCAGTAAGTTCATTGGCAGTGGCACAATAGATACTCGTGGCAGCCGCCTGTTGCTGTAAAGAAACAATGCAAAGAAAAAAAAAAACGAAAGAATGAAAAACTAATTACAATAAAGAACCTTCGGAATTTGTGTGTTGTATAATAGCAATTGTTGTTTGCCACAACGATTTTCTATTTAAATTTTTATAAAAAAATGTGAATTAAATTTTTGAAAACTTACCAGTGATTTAGTGAATGGTCTCACTAATGCGAACAGTAAACGATAAAACCACCAATTCCGTTGTATCCGTGTTGATACCATATTACCGGGATGTACAGAGAACACAGATATGCCGCGATGTTTCCAAAGCTGAAATTAGAAATAATTTTGTTTATTAATTAATTCGGTATTAAAATCATGAACAGATATTAGAATCTGGGGAGATATCTCGCAAAAAAAAGACTGACTTATTTGTGCATCACCTGAAGAAACGAATCTTGAAATACTCTTTAAAGGTCACAATTGGTGTCAAGTTGTAGGACAAGGCTGTATTTTTTTTTTGGAAATTTTTACAATATGTTGTGCGTATAACTGACATTTTTCGATTAAAAAAAAACCTAGAACTAATGCGGAAATTTTGTTGTGAAGTTAACTGAATTATTAGCTCAATGTCGGGATGGAAACATTATTGGAAGTAACTGTAATTGAAAGTATGTAACTGTCTATATAACTATGGTGAGTGTACAACATTGAGGAGTTATAATATATTTCAAATTTGAATTTTAACTACAGACCATTGAAGAATTTCTTCAACATCCCTCGTATAAATAATTTCGTTCAAGCCGAATGTCCTGTCCTGCATTTCGGTCAAAATGAAATATTTCATTTTTATGTGAGTGCGTGTGTGTGTGTGGTGTTATTCTTATCGAACCGGGTTCATATTTTCTGGTGGACTAATCGAATACTGGTTTCTTGGATGCAACTTTAAGATGGCATGTGGTGCCTGCGTGTACAAGAACAAGTTCATGCCATGCAACTAACAAACAAATAAATATGTATTACTTCATTATTTGTTGTTGTATCATATTTTTTTTGTTAGTCAGAATATTTTTTGCACTCTGCTCGTGTATTGCACAAGTCTCGCTACAATCCAAGGTATATTTAATAAGGTAGCCGCATCGGCCCAGCTGTTGGGCAAATAAATGTCAAAAATGTTGTTGTAGTGTTGAACCAAAAAATTAAAAAACAAAATTATAAATGAAAATCTCCGAATTTCGAAAAGCTTTTTTGGCACTACTTTTATTAACATTTTCTACAAGAATTTTTGTAAAAAAATCTTGTCAATCTGTTTGTTTTTGCAAAATATTTTTGACATATCAAAATACAACAACCGATGTTTGTTGTAGAAATTCGCCGATGCGGCTACCTTGTATATCTACCTTGCTACAATCCTTAACGAGACGAGACGTTGTTATTTTTGGTTTGTATGTGCAGCGAATTAAGTGTGACCAAGTATGTCACCGATTTATTTAAAAGAAAAAATGTTTTCGATTATTAGGCGTTTGACTGTGCACGTGAGTGATTCGAAGCCGGTTTTTGGCATTTTGGGAGAATGTTTGTTGTTGGCTACAGCATTTTATTCATGATGGTCTATTATTAATGTGCATATATTTCAAAGGGATGTGTGTGATGGTGGTATTTTTTTGGTATACATTTTGAAAGATTAATTTCTTGAGAATACATGACACCTTCTTAAAATAACCGGTCATACAAATGTACTTTTTTAATATAAAGATATATAAAAAATGAGTTAAAAATTCGTAAACTACGACCGGGCCAAATTTTCCGAAGTTAATAATCTTGGGATTTTTATATACGAACATAGCAAAGAAGTAGACCAATGTCGACTATGTTTTCCAAGGATATTTTGCAACCCATGGACCACAAGAAATAGTAAATTGCAGCCACTTTTGAAGGAAAAATTTCATAAAATTAAAAAAAAAAAAAACAGTAAGGAAAGTAATAAATTCGAACGGGGCCGACTATTCTAACATAACATGATCTATATATTAATATGAACCGAATTAGATTAATCCATAAGCATGTCATTCTGTAACTCTTCAGTTGGATAGATAGAGAATGCGACAATATTATGTTAATCGATTTAAAGCAAATCTCAATCGGACACTTATTGATTATTTAAAACCCAATAAACATGAAGTCGGTCGAATATATGGGCTATATTTCTACAAAGAGCAATTACGTCACTCTATACTCAATTTTGTACGTTGTACAAAATTTCACGTCAATATGACAAAAATGAGTAGTTTGGGCACCATTTAATTAAAATCGAACGAAAATATTAATGGAAGCTATATCTAAACCGAGTTCAATGAAACTTGTCACAGTTAGTTTAAAATACTTTTAACACGGTGCATCATTTACTTAAAAAATATAGGATCTATATCCAAATCTGAACTGATTTGAACGAAACTTGTCACACGTTAGGCCATACTAACTTCACTACGTTGTGCAAATCGGACGAAAATATATATTGAAGGTATATCTAAATCCGAACCGATTTTCAGGAAACTTAGCACACATCATTTTAGACTTAATTCGGTACGCTATGCCAAATTTCGTACAAATCGAGGGATATATAGGGACTTTGGTCCACCATTTACACAAAATCGGACGAAACTATATATGGGGGCTATATCTAAATCTGAACCGATTTTCTTCAAATTTTCTTCAATAGGGTTCGTCCTTGGGCCAAATAAGTGACTTGTGCCAAATTTCATCAAAATCGGATCATAAATGTGACCTGTACTTTGTTTACAATTTAACGGACGGACGGACGGACAGACAGGCAGACGGCCATGCATAAATCGACTCAGAAAGTGATTCTATGCATATTCTTAAAAGGAACCATGTGTCTACCTCGTTTCCTTTTGCCTGTTACAAACATATGCACAAAGACATAATGCACTGTACCACGGGAAACCTTCAAACGTAGAACCCAGAATATCAAGTTACAGCCATATTCGGTTTCAAAACCCTGAAAATACCAAAATTTAATCTATACTTTTTAAAAGAGTAAAGTGATTGACTGACTGACTTAACGATTCATCAACGCCCAGACGAAACGACTGAAGCTAGAATATTGAAATATTGGGTGAGGGTCACTCTTACTCCAAAGGTAACAGATAGGCTGGGTTTTTGGAAATTCGTACTAGAACGTTTCGAAAAGTACTAAATGTGATACCATTTGTGTTTGGCGAACCGGTAGAGCTAGAACTCTTAAATTTTAAATGAGGGTCACCGATGGAGCGTAGAAAATATATAGCAAAGGGTTTTTTGGGCATTCGAACTATAAGTATACAAAAAGTAATTTGTACAATGAAATTTGGAGTCACGATCACTGTAGGGGTCTAGGATTGGGGTCCGGATTCAGTTTAAGAAATTAATACTTATGGGTACTAAATAGTACTAAAATTGGTAAAATTGCTAATTTAGGTGAACCAATAGAAACCAATAGATAGAATCATGAAATTTGGAGTCAAGATCACTGGTGGAGTGTTAGATTGAGATATGTAGGATGTTTTAGAAAATTGTACTAATGTGTACTAAATTTGGTACAATTTAAACTCTGGGAGTTGGAATCCTGAAATTTTGATTTCGGATCACTTTGGAGGTGTAGGATTGGGAAATGTAGGAAGTTTTGGAAATTGGTACTGCTGTGTACTAAATTTGGTTCAATTTGAATTGTGGTTGAACTGATAGAGTTGGAATCCTGAAACTTGGATTTAGGATCACTGTGGGGGTGTAGGTTTGGCATAAGTAGGAAGTTTTAGAAATTCGTACTACTGTGTACTAAATTTGGTACAATTTGAATTGTGGGTGAACCAATAGAGTTGGAAACCTGAAATTTGAATTTAGAATCATTGTGGGGGTGTAGGATCGGGGTATGGAGGAAGTTTTTGGGATGGTTGAGGTGGGTACTTATTGAAATAATGTGTTCTGAAAGGAACTACATTTATTAAAATTTTAAGTTGGGTTAACATTTAGAGCTCGAATCATGAAATTTGATACTAAATGGTACTCAAATTTAATTTATGGTCGATATTAATGTGTGGATTGCTTAGTTTTCCTGACATATGCAGTTTTCCGTGAAAATAAAATAATATGTTTATACATGTTTTAATATTTCCCACATTCGCTAACCAAGTAGCTGGTATATGCTAGTAACAAATATTTTATTTTAGGAAAATGTGTTATCCTATTAGATCTGAAAATATAAAATAACAGATAATTCGGTTGGAAAATGTGTCTAGAAAAAAAAAATAAATAAAATTCGGATTTTTTGTTGCAAATAAAAATTTAGTTTTTAATGAATTTTGTATTGGTTTCATTATAAAATCAAAATGGTAGCTCAAAAAGCCAATGAACTTCCATTCTGACATTACAAATCTATTTTATGATTTTTTATATTTTAATTGATCGTGTGTTTCTTGTAAGACCTGAGTGGTCTATAGTTACAAAGTATGACCTCCACTCCTTAGTACGTCAAATACTAAATTACATTTTTTTTACTCACAACATACCTTAGCTAACTTGGCAGCAAACAGCACATTACATAATTTTGCATTATTATAGGCCATCATACTCCAATATTTCTCCGCTGGAGGTGACAAATGTTGTGGCGTTAAATTATCCGCTGGCAAATTGGCATATCTGAAACGACATAAAAATTTTAAATGCGTCATATTATTTAAACTTGAAAGCAAGTGAATAAAGTTGATTATGATCGGTTTGGACGAATTGTAAATATCCTAAACACATAATATTGACTTAAGATTTAATCAATTGGTAGTTGATGGCAAGTAAGACGAACTTCATCGGCAGTCTTACACAATTAATATACCACATCCAAGATTTACTCCTGATAATTAGAAATTCAAGAGAGAAGAGAAAAATTACAACTGACCAGTGTTTCAAAATAATAGAATTTTTCAAAGGACTGGGAAAAAACTTCAACTAATCCAAAGTTTAAAATTTATTAAGAGCAGACCCTATAAAATTTAAAAGAGATTTGTGGACCAAACAAATTTGACATATTTAATGTTGACCTACCAGAGGTTTCATTAAATTTAAAATTTTTAATATTTTCAACTCTTGGGATGGTAACAGAAGGAGTGGACCGATAGACTGTATCTTCGGTTATGATTTAGATATGGTAAAAATAGTACTTTGTGCGAAGTTTGGATCAAATCGAATACCCAAATAGCATCGAGATTTACAAAATGTTCAAAAAAATTGATAATTTATGGGTAAAGTACTAAAAGAAGTGGAGCGATAAATCTCATTTTCGGATTAAAATAAGGTGTGAAAAACGTATTATTGTGCAAAGTTTAGAAAAAAAATGGATGCTACAGGAGGAATCATTTTACACAACTATGTTGTGAGGATATCAAAGCTTTGTGTGGCCCCAAAAGTTTGCAACCGTAATCCTCATATCTTAATTAGCTGAGTCGATCTAGAAATTTTTAAAAATCCGATGCAGACCACAGTTATGGACCAATCGCCACGATATTTTGCATGTGTGACAGGTTCTGGCCAAAGAAGACTCCTATAGCTTTTTTTTAAACGATCGGTTAATAGGAGAATAAAATTGTATATATTTTATTTCTATACAATATTTTTTTATTACAAACGGAATCACGGGCCTAACATGGAATACCATAGTGTAGCCTGTAAGAAAACGACATTCACTAGAATTGCAAACAACAACAACAACTACAAATTGTATGCAAATGTTGTTTATTAGAGATTAATTTACATAGCCTACAACGCACAATGAACTAAAAATAACCACAATAACAACTTGAAATAGTAGCAGCAACAATAACAACCGCGGGCAGTGGTCTCTATAATTTATATCAAAATATGCATAAATTACTATATGAAGAAAAAACAAAATAATAAAAGAGAGAGACAACAAATGAAAACAACTATCAAGAATAGTTTTCAAGAAAAAAACACGCAAAAAATAAAATAATAATAATAGTAGTAGGAAAAAAATTAAATACGCCCATATGAAAATTGATGTTGTAGTACGCACGCATTCACATGCTCAGTCACGTTTTTTAACGGCGTTTGGCAACTTTGTGTGGAAAAATTATGGGGTTTAAACTAAGGATAGTATTTTAGATACCTCAATAAGCATGGATATTTAAAGGAAAATTTGTTTCCGGGATCTCAGTTAGAGTGGATTTCTTAAATATTATTTTTTTAAGGGGCCTTAACAAGCGTGAATTTTTAAAATATTTTGTTTTCTAGGGACCCCAATAAGCGTTGATTTTTAAAAGTATATTTTTCAGGGACCTCAGTAAGAATGGCTTTTTAAAGTATATTTTTTCAGGGACTTCGGGATTTTTTAAAGAATATTTTTCAGGGACTTCAATAAACGTGGATTTTTAAAAGAAAAATTTCCAAGGGCTTAAATATGCGTGGATTTAAAAAAGGAAATTTTCCAAAGACCTCAATAAGCGTGGATTTAAAAAAAGGAAATTTTCCAAGGACCTCAATAAGCGTGGATTTAAAAAAAGGAAATTTTCCAACGATCTCAATAAGCGGGGATTTAAAAAAATGTTTTTTCAGGGACCTCAATAAGCGGGGATTTAAAAAAATATTTTTTCAGGGACCTCAATAAGTGTGGACTTTTTTAGAAAAATATTTTTTCAGGGACCTCAATAAATGTTGACTTAGAGCGGATTTTTTAAAGCTTATTTTTTCAGGGACCTTAAAAATCGCGGATTTTTAACATATTTTGTTTTTTTCAGAGACCTCAATAAGCGTGGATTTTTACAAGATTTTTTTTCAAGGACCTCAGTAAGAGTGGATTTTTAAAAAAATATTTTTTCAGGAACCTCAATAAGCGTGGATTTTAAAAAGAATTTCTTTTTTAAGGACCTCAACAAGCGTGGATTTTTAAAAGAATATATTTTCAAGGACCTCAATTATTGTGGATTTTCGAGAACATATTTTTTCAGGGACCTCAATTATCGTGGATTTTCGAAAACATATTTTTTCAGGGACCTTGACAAGCAAAGATTAAAAAAATAGTTACTCGGGAACTTAATTCTGAAAAAAATATTTCCTCAAAGACATCAGCTAGCGAATATTGTGTGAATTTTATAAAGATTCGACCCTAACTTGAAGTACCTCTCCCAAAATATTCTCTAGCTCCATAACCTATAAGTGTCAACTTGCCCAGCCTGCAGCCGTATTTATTTATTTAAGACGCAATCACTTTAAACTTATCTATCTACTCAATTGAGTTCAATATGTCTTTTTTTCTTCATTTCGATTGATAATTACAACAACTACAACGATGGTCTCGTTTCGGGCATAACGTTTAATTCACATGCACACACCACCCGAGGAGGCAGCACATGCTGGCTATTCACACTGCTCACTGCTGCTGCATGTGCCAAGAGTTCAAATACATTTTTTGAGATGATTTATTAATAACAAAATATAATAAAAAATATATACATACACACATATGAATGCACATACCTACATATATATCAAATAGTAAATAACAACACCAAAAGCCCCACTAAAAAAACAACAACAAATACCGGCTGATATTTGTTTAGGCGTACAAATGCCTATTTTTAAAAGACAACTAAAGATATGGACTTTGGACTTACATCCAAGTGCACTCCACCGGCGAATGGAGCTGAACATACAAATGTACACATTCTCACACACACACACGGATGTGTTGTTATTTACAACGTCAAGCTAACCACAGCAAGAGAGTCATACCAAGCCTTAAATCACATGCGACACATCATTGCTATAATTGCTCCAATGGATATTTGAACTCTCTGCTGTCAGTCAAGTAGTCGTATATGCAAAACAAACAAACAGACAAACAAAATGTGCAACAGATTGGGAGTCTTAAATAAAAGCCACAAAAACAAAAAAATATTCAAAAAATGTGGAACATATTTGAAATTGTTACGATTAAAAGTGCGGTGCCAGGGACCGAAATAGAGACTTTCAGAGAATATTACAGAATAATGGGATAGGATCGAAGTAGGTCTTCTTATAGTTGAAAGGTAGGTCTTCTTATGGACGAGCAGTTTCTGGGACCGCAATAGGCGTGAATTTTTAAATCATATTTTTTTCAAGCACCTAAATAGGAGTGGATTTTTAAAGAATATTTTTTCAAAGACCTCCATAGGCGTGGATTTTTAAAGAATATTTTTTCAAAGACCTCCATAGGCGTAGATTTTTTAAAGACAATTTTTTCAAAAACCTCTAAAGGCGTGTATTTTTTAAAGAATATTTTTTCAAAGACCTCCATAGTCGTGGAATATTTTTTCAAAGACCTCCATAGGCGTGGATTTTTTAAAGAATATTTTTTCAAAGACCTCCATAGGCGTGGATTTTTTAAAGAATATTTTTTCAAAGACCTCCATAGGCGTGGATTTTTTAAAGAATATTTTTTCAAAGACCTCCATAGGCGTGGATTTTTTAAAGAATATTTTTTCAAAGGACCTCCATAGGCGTGGATTTTTTAAAGAATATTTTTTCAAAGACCTCCATAGGCGTGGATTTTTTAAAGAATATTTTTTCAAAGACCTCCATAGGCGTGGATTTTTTTAAGAATATTTTTTCAAAGACCTCCATAGGCGTGAATTTTTTAAAGAATATTTTTTCAAAGTCCTCCATAGACGTGGATTTTTTAAAGAATATTTTTTTAAAGGCCTCCATAGACGTGGATTTTTTAAAGAATATTTTTTTAAAGGCCTCCATAGGCGTGGATTTTTTAAAGAATATTTTTTAAAGGATTTGAGGACTCGGTGTGGATTTTTTAAAGAATATTTTTTAAAGGATTTGAGGACTCGGTGTGGATTTTTTAAAGAATATTTTTTTCAAAGGATTTGAGGACTTGATGTGGATTTTTTAAAGAATATTGATAATTTTTGGTCAAAGTCCTCCATAGACGTGGATTTTTTAAAGAATATTTTTTAAAGGATTTGAGGACTCGGTGTGGATTTTTTAAAGAATATTTTTTAAAGGATTTGAGGACTAGGTGTGGATTTTTTAAAGAATATTTTTTTCAAAGGATTTGAGGACTTGATGTGGATTTTTTAAAGAATATTGATAATTTTTGGTCAAAGTCCTCCATAGACGTGGATTTTTTAAAGAATATTTTTTTAAAGGCCTCCATAGGCGTGGATTTTTTAAAGAATATTTTTTAAAGGATTTGAGGACTTGGTGTGGATTTTTTAAAGAATATTTTTTTTTAAACATTTTGTTAGGCGTGGATTTTTTAAAGAATACTTTTTTCAAAGGATTTGAGGACTTGGTGTGGATTTTTTAAAGAATATTTTTTTCAAATGATTTGAGGACTTGGTGTGGATTTTTTAAAAAATATTTTTTTCAAAGGATTTGAGGACTTGGTGTGGATTTTTTTAAGGAATATATTCGGGGACCATAAGAAAACGGATTTTACGTATGGATTTATTTTTCGAGGACCATGTGAAACAGAGATATATTTTTCAGGGACTATAAGAATAGTCGTAGACTTTTTAAAGGGGGTTTTCAAGGACCTCAATATTTTTCAACGTGTCAAAAAGCCTGATTTGTTAAAATAGTTTTTCAAGGACCTCAATAAGTGTGGATATATGAAATAATGTTTTCAGGGACCTAAA